GTGTTAATCGCGGATCCTAATCTAGTTTATAATATAGGGTTCAATAAGAAGAGGCACTTGCGTCGCGTGAGTTGGCTTTTTTTTGTTTTTGCTAAAATATAGATATTACTGATAATAAGAGTTCAATAAGAGGGTCTGAGGGAGACCAATGATCAGACCAGAAACTCGTCTTAGTTTTCACAATTCCTTTTTGCATAAAAAAATGTTTGCTAGTATACATGTGCTTTTTTTTTGAAAAATAGTATACATGTGTTTGCTACATCAAATTCTTTTTAGCATCACAATTCTTTTTCGCATAGAAAATATTTAAAGGTCTCACGTGAGAATCTTCTTAGAAAATGTTTACAGATCTCTAAGAGGATTCTTAGAAAATATTTATAGGTCTTTTGATTTGTACCTTAACTAGATTTTGATCCATATCAAGTGTGAGATTAAATAATTAGGTACTTTCTAATCGATATTAATATTTAAACGTGCATGACAAAGCATATGATTTCTAATATTTATAAATGTATAAAATAATTTGTATTATGCATAAATTTAATAAAGTTGAATTTGATCAAACATATTTTGATGTCATTAGTTTTAATACTTTTATGTATAAAATTGATCAAAACATATGCAAATATTATTTAATTCAATATATTTTAAGTATAAAATCAATTTTTATTATTTGTGTAAATTATAGACTATGCGGTAAATCATATAAATTTTCGATTTATATGAATTTGTCGAACATAACAAACAAAAAACAATATATGTTTGTCAATAATGAAATGTATAAATATTTATAGGGAGATTTGGTCTAATATTCTGAACATTTTATAAAATTTGAAAAGTAATCCATATTTTGAAACTTTTGAAATATAACTTGTTAGTTGGAGAAAAAGACACTAATGTCCTAATGTGAAAACATATATTTAAGAAAAACATAAATTTATTTTGTTTAATTTTTTAGTTTCGAAACAAAAAATTGTTTTCTACATTAAAATAATTTAAAGAAACAAACGTGTTTACTTAGATTTAGATTAAACATTCTTA